TATGGAAAAAGCGGGATTCACGTTTCATTAGGCATAAAGGGTGGGGTAAAAAAAAAAATTTCACTCCATGTTTGACGAATATTATACCTATTATATAGAAAGATCGAAATTTATTCCATTTTACAAAACGTATAATCGTGATAGAATTTACAGAAAGATTGCACTAACACTTGTATTCAATTTGTTTTATCTGAACACAGTGAAATATCTTTTTAAAAAAAGGGAATTAAGAAAAAATTGTCATAAATTAAGTTTCTGCGTTATTTTATATTTTACAATGAAATCATTTGGAAAATAATTAAATTAATTGTCGAAAATAGGCAAATCCTTTCGAAAAATACTCGTTTGACTCGTGCATTTCTCTGAATACAATTATGTAAGAAGCCTTCAACTTAATTTTCTTCCCTCGAAATTTCATTGTTTTCCATGGAATAACTGTTATTCGAAGCGAAACTTTTAAACAACGCTTTTTCTCTCTGAGAATAAATTAAAAATTTAGATTCTCAGACAAAAATCAAATCTAAACTAAAATCGTGATATAATCACAATAACAAAAATTACAATATCCCAATCCATTCTATGAGAATAATGAAAATTAATAGCCATCGAAGCAAATTAATCGAATACAATTTCCATATCGTATCAATTTCGATCTTAATACAACAAAATTTCCCCCTCAACAATCCTATTCGTTCCCTATTTGATCGCGAGATTCAATTTATAACGCGAGAAATTGCCTTCCCCTCCCTCCTCCCCTCCGAAGAATTCCCCAAGGAAACGAATACCCCCTCCCCCGTCGAATTATTACAATTTCTTTTCGTTTTAACAAGCCACTCGAATTAATTAATTCCTCTCTCCCATTCACCTCTTTCTCCCCCTTTCTTCACCCCTCTTACACACCTCCAACCGAATTGGGCATTCTTCCTTTGCCCCAGTGCACCAACCCCCTTCCTTCTCCTCCTCCTCCTCCCCCTTCCTCATGTTGCAACAAACAACAAACGAGGCTAGTCTCGAGGTAATAAGAATGAATTTCCAAGAGGAGGAAGAAGGGAGGAGGAGGAGGAGAGGAGGAGGAGGAGGGTGGAATTTCTCGTTATTTATCTCTCCTCGCCATCCTTCTCTTCCCTTCTCTCGTAGTTTTTGACGGTGTCTCTCGCGAGACATGGAAGGAGGGAGGAGGGGAGGAAAAAGAAAATGGAGAGAAATGGGAGGGATGAATTTCTCTGATTGATTTTATCGAGCGAGTGGCCAGAAATTTTGGTTTTGCGGATTTTCTTTTTCCCCGTGGATGTTGACAGAGAGGGGGGGGAGTGATGTGGAGGGGACGAAAGAGGAAGGAAGTTTTTTTTCCTCTTTTAGAAATTTTAGAGATGGGATAACTCGCGGGGAGGATGAATATTGTTTGAGAAGAAAGGGAGAGACGAAGGAAGAAAGGAGGTATTTGGAAGATTTGTTGAAAAATTAAATATCATACGAGAGAGAGAGAAAAAAAAGATGAAATAAATAATTTTTTTTTTTTGAATGAAAATTTTTATGAGCGAATAATTTGTCAAATAAATAATTGGATATGAGAGGAGAGAAAAGAAGAATAAAAAGTGTAAATTTGTAAAGAGATAATAATAATAATACATCGTTTGTTTAAATAAATATATTGCACGAGAAAGAGAGGTTTGTTTCGAATAAATCAAATGTTTTTCTAGAAATTAATTTTTTTTTTCTTTTTTTAAGATCATTGAAGATATGATTATTATCTGTTTTTTTTTCTTTCTCTCTCTTTTGACCAGTGTATCGTTTTATTCGCGATGAGAATCCTCTTCGATAATTTAAAAAATTGAAAAACTCTTGGCTACCACTTGGTCGAAACTAGAAATCAAGCTCACACTTAAATCCCCTATATCTCCAATTAACGATCTCCAATTCGCTTGAATATAGGCGAACGACGATATTATATTAATACTTTGTATACGAGTATATGTAAATAAATAACGAGAAAAATGGAAGAGAAATACTTTGCGACCATTGTGTTATTTATAATCTATTCATTATCAGAATGGAACCACAGAATACAATTTTCATAACGTGAAAATTTGCCTCGTTAACGACCTCTCTAATCAAACGCGGGTTTGATTGAAAATTTTTACATAAACGCCGAAATGATGTGAATCGCAATCGAATTTACGAAGAAATATAAAGAAAATATAAATCTCTCCATTTCTTCCTTTACACGATTCTGACTAAACCAAATTAAAAAAAAAAAAAAAACTTCGATCCTTAAAAACCCACCAAACAGAAATGAAAATCTCTCGCCTTCCTCTCTGATCGAGACCGATTTATAACACGAGCCTACTTTGTTTCAGTGTGCAGCGAGAATCCAGGTCTGAGCGGCCGTTACCACGCCGGGCTTTGGAGTGGAAAACGGTGGTCCTGTTGCCGGTTGTCGACGCGTTCCGCCGAGGGTTGCGACACTTGCAGCTCCTGGTCGTCCAAGCCGTTGAACGCGACCAACCCGTCCTCCACGTCCTCCGTGCCGAGCTTCACCTCGGCCGCCGGGAGCACTGTAGCCGCCACCACCACTACCGCCATAACCGATCGACCGCAGACGACCAACTCGGAAGCCAACAACAATCCCATCGTTCACTCGCAGACCCGCTCCACCATCGGTTCGTAATCAATCAATTTTTATCATTGGAAATGTATTCTTCTTCTTTTTTTTTTTTGTTTTTCTTTGTCTAACTCTTTGACGGTTGTTTGTAGCTGAGAGGTGTAAGAAGAACGCGAGAGATTGTTTAGACGATTTGTATGTAACTCCTTGCGTGTTTGGAAGGAATTTTTTTTCTTTTCCTTCGGATCGATTACCGTTGAGAAACGAGCGCGAGGAGAGTGTGTGTGTGTGTACACGAACGAGCGACGTAAGCCTTGTTTATAAATACAGCGGTTGGACGAAGGATATATCTCTCTTAAAGGGAATATTTCGAAACGTATCGTGACGATACATTCAAGTCGAATCTTGATCCCATGTTTTTCGAAAGGAGCGATATGTGTGTAATTCGAAACGATATTCGTTATGTATTCAAGTCTTATGAGATATTCTTTCTATTATAATATAAAACGAAATGGATCGATTCGATCATTATATTTATATATATATATATNACGGAATTTAATTCGACGGTACGAGGCAGACAACCGTCGATTCCGAAGGGAGATGATTGGAATTTAGAAGCCGCTAAAGGGAATCCTAATGGAATCCTGTATTAACCTAGCGGATGTTTATGACCGCCGCGAAGTTTGTCTTGGAATTAACGCTAATATTTAACTCGAGATGGACTCGGTAATACCGGAATACGAGTGAAAATCCGAAGCAACGGGCCGCCAGATTAAACGGAAAACTCTCGGTTTGATTTTAACATCCGTGATGCCGAACATTGTGGGATTAATTAAAATGTTACCCTCGATCTTTCAGATCCTCTTACAAAATCTGAAATCTTGATGACAAGGTGTGATCAAGAAGAAATAATCGGATTATCGTTTTTATAAAAATTGTATCAATTAGATTTTCTTTCCTTCGATAGTCAATTTTTTTAAAGGGAGAAAAATGTATTTACAAAGATAATTGGGATAATTTGTGATGCAAAATAGAAATGTGGATTATAATCGTAAAAAATTAATAGTTGTTATCGATTCTTCGAAAATCCGACCAATATATTAACATTATGATATAGCAATATTTTTTGTTACGTTTCTATAATCTACATATTTGAAGAATAAAAAATAAAAATTGAAGAAATGCACAAAAGGATAAATAAGTTGAGTATCAATAAGTTAATGATATTAACAATTCAAATTATTTTAATGTCGGGTGACTTTTCTAAATATATTCTCTGATCTTGAAAAAAATCCTTTTTTTTAAGGAAAGAAATAGGCAAAGCTTGGATTTGGCTGAATTATCAACATCCTGAAATGAGATTTTCTTGGATTTCTTCTTCTCTTGGATAAATTTTGTGCCAGTATTGCACAACATGGTATTAAGTTCTCGACACTGTGCACTTTGTTTCATCTTCGAAAAGGTCATAGTATGACGAGTTTTCCTTATTTTTCTCTTGTAATAATCTCGTAATAGAGAAAAAAAATAAAAGAGAACACGTTACACGCGTGATCACGAGGCGATCGATAAACGAATTAGACAAACCTCGCCTCAAGATAAAAAGAAATAATAAAAGAAAATAAGAAAGTTCAGAGGTTAGGAAGTACGTGTTTCAATTCGATACACACGTTCTATTCGTGTGTCACTTGGCGAAGATCGTACGTTTCAAAGAAACAGAGCCACCATGCGAGACACGGAAGTAAAAAGAATATAGAAACGAACGTGCCTTTGACACGTCGAGCGTTTTACTCTTTTTTATCGACAGAGGAATGGTGTCACGTGAATTTCGCGTTTTTAAACATTTTCTTCGAAACTTCTTATATAGTTTGACACGATATATTCTTACGATAGTTAAACGATTTGTCTCTATCACGTGTTTTTTCATACTACTCTCAATAGTATAGCGTATATTATTAAAACAATTTGAGATAATTTTTTATTGATCGATTAACCTAAAATTCGAACCATACAGTAGGTACAGTAGAACATCTATTATTTGAACCGTACGATTTTCTTTATCAACAACAATCGTGGAAATGGAATTTAATTTAAAATTTGATTTAAAAGAACTGAATATATATATATATATATATA